CTTTGACTTTTCGATGCCGTTTTTCTCAATGAAGGATTTTTTTTTTTGAATTTTTTCTCTATTTTTATGGGGATCTACATGGAATTCTGCACAAAATAAAGCAATACAATTTTTCACCACACACCACCTTTAATTTCTCAACATTTTGAAAATCGTGCTGAATGACAAAGAGAGAAGAAACGAAGAAAAATAAACACATCTTCATTCATTTTTCATGAGAATTATGACGACATCGATTCCTGAAATCACGGCATTACAGGAAAAAAAATTTGGAACCACACGAAGAAAAATCTGAAATTGAAATTCTCACTGAAAGAACTCCTGAAAAACTTTTAAACTTGTTTTTCCAATTTCAGTTCCAAAATCTAGAAACCAGTATTAAAAAATTCAGAAATTCAGAAATTGGTGCAAACATTGGCTTCAAATAATCTGAAAATCAAACGAAAATTGAGGAAGTGTAGTAGAAAATTTCCAAATATTGGTTGGATTTATTGCGAACTTTATTGATAACAAGTTACAATATAAACATATTTTACATGATTACTGTAAACACTCCGTAAAAAGCTCATTGAAAGGAATACATGGTGTTTTAGTTTTGCAATTTAAAGGAACAGATGCAATGTTTTTTAAAAAGGGGTATTGCAGGGATTACAATAGATTTCAAATTCGATAGTTGTAGGAAAAAAATGTACTCACTTGGGTTCAAGCCAATGGGTCAGAAATCGCGCCCCAGTAAACGTGAGATTTTGGAAAAAAATTCGCTGCTGAATTATGTGGCTGAGGATCAAACTTATTAAACGTTCGACGAAAAAATCACGCGTCGCAACTCGTTGATTAAAACTAATTAGGTCAAATCCACGCCAACTTGGAAATTATTAAATTTCTTTTGGCCTAAAAATTATTTGGGGCGCGTTTTTTGACCCGTTGGCTTGAACCCATGTGAATACTGTATTTTTCTAAAATGGATTACTAGGGTTTTCAAAAATGTGTTACTATAGATTTCGAAAAGGGATCACTATTCTGTAGATTTGTAGAAAAAAATCTGTAAAAACTAATCAAATTCTCTTTATTTTACAAGGACGGTTCAAAAAGGAAATTGGGGTGGGGGAAAGTTAGAAAAGGAAGAAGAAGTAGAGAGGATCATCATTTTAGAAATCGATTATTCGTTCGACTTGTCATGCTTGTTCTTGTTTTTCAACAGGAAACGTTCGCAGCTGACAAAATCGAAAAAGTTTGGTGTTGGTTTGTTGGCAGACGACAAACGGGTTTGCGGACTCTGCAAAAATTCGACATTTTTAAAGTTGAGCAAACAAAAAGCTATTTTATCTTGGTTCCTGTAAGAGATATCAGAGAATGCTCAGCTGATTAAATATTGGTGATATTATGATAAATATTATGTCAGTTGATCATTTTTTGATACTTCTCCTAGGGACCGAGATAAATGAGATCAAAGTTTCAAAAATCACCGTAATGATATTAGCTTGACAACTGTGCGCTTTGATCAAGTTGATTCGAATATTTGGCTTAGAAAGAGAGGGCATTTTGAAGTATTCAATATACGGGAAATTCTGTCCGCCATCTCTTCCATATGACATTTGAGCCACTCCATGAGATTGCTGACGATCCCAATGTCTTCTGATTGCGATTCGATCGATTTGAGTCGAGTTTCCAGACAACGGACGAGCCTCATCACTATCTGGGCCAACAAAGAATTGTTGATTGAAAAAGATGTCAATCGTTTCGTCCAATTTCATATTTCCATACTTTTCCATTGTGTTGTCCTTATCAGTGATCCAGAGACGAATCCTGGAAAATATTTTTGAAAGTAAAATTGGAGTTTCGAGTTTCTACAAATTAAATCTTCTTCTAGAATTTGAGAGCTCCAAAATAAGTCTAGATTTGACTAGTTGAAAATCATGGAACTCTAAAAAATAACTGGAAAACCTCATGCTAAATTAAGCGTCTGGGAGCTCAAAACTTCAGCGCTTCGAATTTCTACAAATGAAGAGTTTTGAAAAGTTTCAGAGCTCCAAAATTGGCGTTTTTAAAACTTTTTCAGACACTCACCAACTACAAGTCTGTCCAATAGACACAATAAAATGATCATCAATGTAATCGATTTAATTAAGATTTGCATTAATCTCGTTGACTTCCCACGAATCGACCGTAATCGCTCCTAATGCTCTTTTGAGAGGATTACGTGAAGTCGACACGAATCCATTGCAGTGCGACTTTTGTCTCATAGTGTTTTTGTCGTGAAATTCCGGCTTTTGGAGAACCTGTATATTGAGATTTTTGATTTTTTTTAAATCTCAGCAAATTAATTTGTTTGGAAATTTTGTGATTTTTCGGTTCAAGTTCGAAAATCCATTTTAAGAAGTTGGAATTGAAAAAAAGATGTCCTTTGAGAATTTCAAAAATTTTCAAAATGTACGATTTTTTATAACTTTTGGATTTTTGGGTTTTTGAATTTTAGGGTTAAGATTGCCGCATTTCCGAAATTAGGCATTATTCGGTCCAGGTTCGAACTATTTTTTTTTGAAATGTTTTGAAAATTTTGAAAACTTGAAAAAAAGAACTTTTAAAAACAAAAAAATACTTTCGATCAGTAAAAAATTGAATTTTCGAAATTTTAAGGGCAAAAATATATTGAAAATAAGCCTGGAATTCTGATTTCTGATTTTGCAAATTCTTCGATTTTTTGAAGAAATTTCGAAAATTTTCCAGAAAGGATTTTTCAAAAAAAAAAAAGAACTTTTAAAATTGAATGAAGTTAACTTTGTCTTTGCAATGCATCTCTAAAAAACCGGAATTCAGTAATTCGAAACCCCCATTAAATCCCAAATCTTCAAAAAAAAAATTCAAAAAAAACTGAAAGCCCAAACTCTAAACATAAAACTAAAAATGTTCACTTTACAACGAAATTTTCGAAAGCACATTTAAAAACACTTACCGGTAGCAAATCGACAGTTTTCCTCACTTGGCCATTAACAGTTGTCCAACTGGATTGCAATGGATTGAAAAGTGACGAAACGTATCCGTTAGACGTTTTTTTATTAGAAATTGTCAAAACATGCGGTAGCTGATCAGACGACTTGTCGTACCTAAAGAAAACAAAATTCTTGAAAAAAATCAAAGAAGAAAACGAACACTTGCGGATCAAACAAAGCATCGTAGCTGGATTCCGACCCGTCTTTTGTGATATGGGCGAAACAAAATCTGCTGTTTGTCACCATCAATGCTACCTTGTTCAACAAATCAAATTCAATTTCAGTCATTCGATTCGCTGTTGCCGCATTGTAATCATTGACTTTTCGAACTTCCGAAGACGTCACTTCCAATTTGAACTTGCTTGCGTCTTGATGAACGAATGGAATTGAGCTTCTTTGATTGAAATATTTTTGTGGTGATCCTCCTCGTCCAGTTATCACTTCAAGTGTTTGAATCGGTGGATAGAATGTGAGCGACGCGTTTTTAACCATATCCGTCTCAATGTGGAATTTTCCAATTCCTAGGTGTTTCTTATTGATGAAGAATACTTGAACGCTGAAATTTGAAAATTGAATAATTTGAAATTTTTAATTTTTAATTTCCGCATTTCTGAATTTTTTAGTTTTTGAATTTCGGGATGTTTTTTTTTCAATTCTCGATCTTTCAAAATTCCAGAATTTTCGAATTTCGGAAGTTATGAACTTCCGAATGTCTGGAATTTTTTCAAACTTACGCTTGACAATGTTTTGGCGGCCAAATGACAATATTGAAATCAGCTGCACCAAGTTGCCAAACCGATGCCAGTGATGGGGGATGTTCGGAGCTGAAAAATTGATTTTTTTGAAAATTTAAAAAATAAATTGTTCACAAACATTGAGGTCTTGCGCATTTGATAAGTTCCATGAAGACTGCTAATTGGACCTGCCAACGACCAAGGAGACACTGTGTAGGGCTGAAAATTCAATTAGTTATTTTCAAAAATTCAAATTTCAAAATACCTAAAATTCAGGAATTCTAAAACTTCAAAACTCAAAAATTCAAAAATCGCTTCAAAAAAGTTTCAGCTCTTGAAAATTGCCAGAAACTTCCAGAAGGTTCTGGAATCTTTGTTTGAATTCCCGCCAAAATGTTTGAACCTCCGTTTTTCATTTTCAACTCTTTTCTAGAGGTTACCAATTTTTAGATTCGGTGACTATTGAATTTTTGAGTTTCCGAATTTCTGAATTTTCGAATTTCGGTTTCCCTGCGTTTTGAACTCTTACGGTGAGATTACTGTAGATTTTTTTGCATTCTTTTATCTGTTTAATTTGCTAAAGGATTTCCAATTCTTCCAAGAAGCGCAGACTTGCAAAAAATGATCGGAGCTTGAAAATCAACTTACCGGGGATGGGGCTTGTCCGGAGACAGAAGTGAACAGAATGCACGTGGCAATCAGAAGTGACGTCATCTTTTGATTGAAGACGTCGACGACGAGAATCATCTCAAATTACTTTTCCTTCTTTTTTGAGAATATCCAATTGAATGAGAGAGAAGACGAGAATCAGACAACGGACACACAGAAGAGAGCCTTTTTTTTAGTTAGCACTACTGGTTTTTTAGTTGAGACTGAATTGATTCTTTTTTGGCATTTTAGGGTTTTGGATTGGGGGAGAAAGGGGCGGAGCTTGATGAACTGGGATTTGGGGGGAGATCACGTGAAAATTGTGAAAAAAGTTAGAGGTTTTTTCAGGAGGGTTCATATAGAAATTCTGGAATTTTATTTGATTTGTTTTCAAAGTTTCAAAGTTTTTTTTTAATCACGTAGCGCAATAAATCAATAAGTCAATCAATATTAGGTCATGCCCCTCCCTCGGTCCACGTTTCAAAAATTCCACATGTTGAGAAAAAGCAGTTCCTTGTGACACTCTCTCAACTTTATTACTCGTTGGATAATTCCCACTGGCACTTTTTCACTGGTAAGAAGCTCTTTGCACGCTGCTCATCGGTAGTTTCTTGTCTTTCGATTGGTGAAAATGCGAACAAAGTTATAAAAGGCCCTCAGGGTCGCCATGTTTGGTGGTTCATGGCTAGGTGTTTTTCACCGAACGTCCCCCTTTCAAAATCGATCCAATCAAAGATTCAAAAAAAAAGAAACATCAATGAATAGTGTTGGTATAGAGACTTCTGCCACTGAAGAATTACTAATGGAAATTTTCTCAACGGTGGTGGGCCTAGGAGCCCATCAGGGGTTTTTGGTTGGTGTTTTCCCCCCGGTGAAAAACCATTATTCCCTTTCATGTACTGAGCCTCTACGTGGCGAAAGGGATCAACAGACGGAAACGTCTGGCTAATCAGTCCACTATTCGAACTCTGTTTTTTTTTAAAGATAAAATTTTAGTTTTCATTTAAAAATGTGTTTTTCTATTCATTTGGACCATTTTCAGGAGTCTGTTGGCAAAAAAATTATGATCATTTTGAGAATTTTGGAGGTGTGTGGACCAGTGTGTCCTTTCGACACGACTTCGACAATTTTTTTACGAGAAATTCGTCGAAAATTTTTGAAAATTTTCGAGAAAAAACGAAAAAATGTTGACATGTGGCCTAACTTTTGCAAGTTGGGTTTTCTAGGCCAACACCTATTTTTTGCCTTAAATGGCTTAACATGACCCTGGTGTGTTGTCTAGGTCATTTTGAAGAAAGATGGAATGATAACATGGAAAAAATGTCAGATGTTCTTTAAGAATTCAGACTTCTAAGAAAGGGGACAAAAAAGAAAGAAGAAGGGTTTGGAATATCTGATTTATTTAATTTTGGAATTCTGAAATCAGAATGTGGAATTCGAGAATAATAATTAAAAATGAGAACATAACATGAACATTTTAGAAATATCAAACCAAGAAAAATGTTGTACTTGTACTTGGAGCCTGTAACATTTGGCTCTTTATGATTTAACGGGGGTTTAAACAATTTACGGGGG